CCGTTAACCAGCTGTCGCAACCCACAAACCCAAAACCCTCAAAAGTCGAAACTTGTGCGAACATCCCGGACCATCCCAGTTTTTTATGAAAAAATCAAAAGAGTGATAGGTTGTAATAACACTCCATCCCAACATTCCACAATACTCCAGACCACACCGTTCCCAGAATGTTCCAGGTGATTGTGAAACAATCCAGAATATTTCTGAATACTGAATCATTCGAAGCCTAACTATTGGTAGGGGAATATAAAGCATGATCCGTTGGTCCGTTTCAATTCAAAGTTTATATTATTATCCTAGCTATCATTGCTACCTTTCTTCATCACGCATATATTATCGGCTCATCAGGCCATTCGAATTCATTTTCTCGCGTGATAGCTTCAAGTAAGTGATGACTCCTAACACCTGGTCACCTTGATCTATACTGCAATAATAAGACCTATGTTAACGTACGGAGCCATTGCATGGGGACCGAAAGTTCTACAAGCAACTGCCATCTAGAAAACATATCTAATACAGTGACTGGCTTGTTTGAACATCACAGGAGCCAAGAGAACAACACCAACCGCGGCAATGGAATTAATTACGAGTCTGACCCCTCTGGACCTGTACGTTAAGGAAGTTGCGTTAATGGCCATAGTACGATTGCGCACGGCTGGGTCAATTGGCGAGAAGCGCTTACTGCGCAAGCTCTGCTGCAGGTAAGCAGTGATTCAATTGAAGCCAGGTTTGTGTTTAATAAACCCTACATAATACAAATGGAACAGAACCCAGGGTAAGATGCTGCAAATGCAATACGCATATATTCAGACGGCTTGGAAACCAAAGAAGGCTCAGGATCTGGAGTATACTTCAGATCACTAAGCCTAAGGATTAAATGAGGAATGGGAAAAATTACCAGCTTGGTCCAAACAGAACTGGCTGGTATCTCAATCGCCAGAAAAGAAAAAACCAGGAGAGAAATTCCTGGCAAAATTATAACAATCTGTACTGACAGCAGACAAGCCCTATAAGCTTTGAACATACAACGTGTAACATCAGGGCTAGTACTAGAGAGTCACCATGATTTAGCCAAAGCCTCAGTGGATATTAACANAAGTTTCTGCCTTTCTGTTTTGCTATTCCATCAGTCGACAGCAGTGTCAGACGGTACCTATGAAAATGGACGAGGAAAAATAGAGTTGCTTGTTAAGGCAGGCTCTGGAATATCCAGAAATTCTGAAAATTTGCTTGGAGTCATTCGGAAATACTGGAAAAATTTCTCCTCGTCTTCTTTCAGATCGTTGAAAAGATGACGACACTCTCCCAGATTTGCCCTCTATTGATTAATGGGATGGACCCACAACATTCTTTTTTGTGACTATTGTCTTCTACATTCAATAATGCGGCCACTATAATAACGACTTCTTCGTCAGAACTGCTAATGATATACACGTTTCTGTCACCGCTCGATTTCAAGTAAAATTCCTTCAAAATCGAACAAACAGCACCTTCAGGATGCCGTGCTGTGCTGTGCCGGACAAGTGAGCGATAAGCTTAAACTTGAGCATATAACAGACGCTTATGGATCCAAACCTCTATGGAGATGTATTAGTTTTCGAGTTTCTGTATTGAATAAAAGGTAAAAATGGAACTTCTGGCGTAGAATAAATCCAAAAACAAGCACTTTTTCCAATCACCAGTATTACAATAGTTTTCTCGACCCGCGTTTCGCCAACGGTAATAGCCGGAAAGTATTTCTTTTTCAGCAAGCATTTACCGAAACCTACTGTGTGGCTACATTGGGAGAGATGACTGTTTCGAAATTTCATTTCGAAATATTGATTATATTTTATGTAGACGTACCATTATTTCTAATATTCAGGATAATTTTGTCCGGTGTTTTCGGGTTCATTAGTTGTTGGTGTGCAGGTTTTTATACCTGACATCGAAAGGACAACTTACGTCAAGTTTAGAAGATCAATGGTTGACAGTGTAGTAAATTGGAAATTGTGGATCGACCATGGAGAAATCCATGTTGCTGATTTGTGATGTTTCTATAAGAAAACAGTAGTTAGTTCTTTGGTTANTAACCAATGGCCAAAATCTAGATTCAAATTTGATAGTGCACCCCCTGAAGTGTTTTCTGAAGAAAGAAATACCTTTCTTGTAACTTCCGAACCAGAATTCGACCCTTTCGAAAAAATACTGACCCGCTTCTCTTCATTTTCGAAAGTACAAAGAATTATTGCTTACTATTTACGTTTTCTGACTGATGTAGAGCAGCCACATTTCTTAGTTGATAAGAAAAAAATATTTTACTTTTTTGATACTTCTCATCTGCTGAAATGTAGCAGAAACCTTTTTTTCGATGACTTTTTGAAATTTGATGAATATACAACGAACAAAAGTCACCTTGAATAACTTTACAACTTGTATAAGGAAAAGCAATATAGACTAGCACCCAAACTTACTGATTCTCATTTATTTCCAAATAACTTTTAAAGGATAAAGGTTAAATTAGCCAGTCAAGTTTTCAGTCATTCGGTAGCTACAGCGATGAATACTTATGCCGGTTTCAATCAGATACCATCAGCAGCAATAGTGACGGCTACATTCATTGAAAAAATGGATTAACTGTTTGATATTTGGAATTCAAATCGATTTGACAATGTCAAACATTTCAATAAACCTTTTTTCGGAACATCAAAACAATTGATTTTCTGAAAGAAATGAAAATATTTTTCAGCAAATTAACTGTAATATAAAAAAAAGAAAAAACACGACTGAACGAATGAGATTCATCGCGGGGTGGCAGATAACAATTTTGGCATTTCTGCAACTTTGGGAAAACCTACATAGTGAAGGACACTCCTACTTATTGACGAGGAATACAAATCAGGACTGGGTGAAAAATTATGTTGGTCAATTGAGAAATACTTGTGGAAATGCCAGAAACCCAACTCCTGTTCAAATTACCAGAGCTGTTGGTCGGTAGCCGGGCGGTTCGACGTGTGTGCTTTGTTCACTCAGTCAATGGGCCGATGTATGAGTCGATGGTTCAAGCCCCAGGCGGAACGCTCGACTTCCACTTGCTATCGTCCAACCCGTGTTAGGAATCACACTTAAAAGTAAAGAACTCGTTAATCCTTAGCTCGCACAAGTTTCGACTTCTGAGGGTTGTCGTTCGTAGGGCTGCGATAGCTGGTTAACGGAAAAACATATTTCGAACATAATGTTTGAAGACATTTTTCACACTGTTAGAAGAAATTAACTATCTAGAAGATACTAGTGAGATTGTAACTAATATTACAGATGGTGACATAAATAGAATAAAAATTCTTGTGGAAGTTCCAAAAAACCTTTGAGAGTAGAGACAAATAATGTATAATGTATAAATTCAGATTGGGCACAGTGCAATTATATAGTACAATATTTGTAAACAATAAATTTCCATTTCGAGTGGGGCGACATTACCTAAGCATGTGATATGCTTGTGCTGCTTTGTCAACCCACCTCGAAGTGGACTACACACTAGTTATGATTCGCCGAGCGAGAAATTAATAGTACCTAAATAATACATGTAAAATCACTTTTAATATAGATGGTGTACAACTAAGTACAATAATAAACTAATACTTATTCACTGAGATGTTAAAAAAAGAAAAAAAAAGTAAGAAAATAGAGAAAAATAATAAAATTACATAAAGAAATGGAGTTGAGAGAGAGCGAGGAAAAATAAGACTGGAGTCTTTCTTATGAATTGAGTGGGGAGATCAGATAATGCAAAATATATTTGGGTTTTCACGTATACAATTTTTTACCGCTTTTTTGAACAGATGTGGTTTTTCTATAACCTTGATTTCCATGGGTAACGCATTGAAAAATTTAGCACCAAAATAAAAAATACATCTTTGTGTATGAGTTTTATTGAACTTTGGGATGCTGATGAATAGATTTTCCACCGATCTGGTTTGCCTTTGTATTTCATTGTTATATATTTTAGTGAAAGTAAAGTTATGTTTATTTGAATGCATCCATAGGAGACAGTTATAAATATATAAACTACGGGTATTCATTAATCCATTTTCTTGATACAATTTTTCTGTTGAGAAAATTTTAGGTTTCTTGAATAATATTTTTAGGACAGTATTCT